AGAGCTCTCAGAATTCATCAAAAATATCTTAATTTGTGTTCCGAAGATGAACAGAGGTCTTACGGATTTGGAACGACATGAGGGTGAGTAATTAATGACAGAATTTTCATTTTTGGGTGAACTATCTCTTTGAGATTCTTATAGAGAACATTTCATGGAACAAACCAATATTTATACGGTCACAAAAAAAAAAATAACACTGACACAGTCATACAGAGACAATGTCTTGCAACAACAAATCTGACCATTGTGACATGAAAAAGCAGCACTGCCATATCGAGAACATTTCATGGTTCAACAATATTTATATGCTCTGTCTTTGTGCTAAAGCATTTATTAGTAAACTTCTGTCTGCTTTGTGAGAACATGAAAGCCTCAAAACCTATTGTCAATATTTTGTCTAGAAGGTGTGATGAAAGAAAGAAGATGAAAGAAAGATTATTTTGAAGCAGGGTGAAGCCAGTTCGTGTGTGTGTGTGGGTGAGTGAGAGAGAGCGAAAGAGAGAGTTATACTATCAGATTGATGAAATGATATTGGATGCAGTTCAGGGTAGGATGAAATAGAAAACTTGTAATACTCCCAATAGTTTGTATAAGTGTGTGTGTTAGCGCGAGTATGCATGCATCCAAACATGAACAGGTCCAAGGCCTTTATGTTTGCAAGCACACGTACATATGTGAACGTGAACATGATCAACATGCTCCTGAACACTAATAGTTTCTATTACTTTCATTCTTTCCCATTCACTTTGAATGGCTGGACATTTTTGACCGGGAACACCACAAGTGTGACTTTGTGCCATTTTGTACAAAAGACTGTACATTTAAAAACTCATTGCCACTTCTTAAAAATCAATAGAAAACCTCAAATAACTCAACTAAACAAAAGCCAAAACAAACCACCACACAAGTAAAAGATGATACTCACGGAAATTGCACGATAAACACACACGACTCACTGCAGCACAACCGCTCGTGTATGAAGAGCGCGCCACTGGCTTAAGTACTGCCTTTGTACCGTCACGTGACTCCGGAATTCGCGCGGATAGAAAGACGGACATAAACAAACAGCCCATCACCATCATTCAAGGGATATTTAATTTCACTAGATTATCATTTCTATCCACTTCACAAAATATTGTGTGTGTGTGTGTGTGTGTGTTCAAAATAAGTACTACGCACAACTAAATTGTGTATATTATGTATATTGAGTATTATGTGTATATGATGTTAACTGTAGATTATTACAACAGACATTAATGTACAGTTTAATTGTAAAAAATAACCAATTTGTAACAGACAAATAAGGCCGTTTTTCGCAATATAACTGAATAAAACTTCAGAAATTCTTTGTAATATAAATAAGGGAGAGTTATATAAAAGTTTGAGACATAAAGCTAAGATACAGACGTTTATTAAAGGGGTCATATGATGCTGCTAAAAAGAACATTATTTTGTGTATTTGGTGTAATGAAATGTGTTTATGCGGTTTAAAGTAAAAAAAAAACACATTATTTTCCACATACTGTACATTATGTTATATAAAAGTTTGAGACATAAAGCTAAGATACAGACGTTTATTAAACAAACCGTGTCACTACACTGGCCTTCATAAACCCGGCTGACATGAGCGTGCGCTCCTCCTCTGTCACGTGTGCACAGCTGCGTGACGCGCATCGGCCATTTTGAGTTGTTTGTTCAGCGAGGAGCGCTTGTTATTTTCCAGACGAACGCAGATCAAAGGCCGAAACAGTCGAAAGAATCGCTCGAAAGACATTTCACCCTTTCCTTCCATCATTATGGGTCCACCGCGCTGCAGATCCCGCCGTCTGTTACTTGAGAGAACGGAGGACTTCGGTCGGTTTGTCAGTTTATCTTGACATGGCTTATACGGGTGTGTGACGACTGTGGAAAAGCTCGAAAACAAACGGGAGACCATTAAGCTAAACCTCCGCCGTCGATCGATCCATCCGGGGTGGGTTTTTTGCACTGAGCTCGGTGTATTAAGACGTGTTAGGATTGCTTCGCAGTACTTGCTCCGATCGCAACGGGCTTGGAAGACAACTCGAGAAAATGACGAGAAACAATAGTTAGCCAGCCACGCATCGAAGCCAGTCTCTGCTAGCATCGCGATAACAAACAGAAAACAGGCAAAAACAAAATGTAACAGTCGGTTTATTGATGAATACTAGCTTTGAATGCTCTCGTAGATTTCATACTAGATAAAAAAAAGAGATGTAGCTCCCTTCAACCAGGTTATTAGTCGGTGGTGTGTGTGTGTATTCAGCGTAGTTAGCATTAGTTTGCTAGCCAGCCACAAAATAAAAGCCTCACAATGAAACTCAACCGTGGCAGGAGAGCTCGTGGGCCCATTTTATGCCCTTGAATCCCAAGATGTCCAGCAAACTCTGTGTTCTTACTCCGTGCCAAGATCTCATGGCATCTGCATTTCTCTGCCATGGTTGTCTTTCTCACCTGTCATTCAGATGTGCTTTTATGAGACCGTATATTCAAAGACATGGATACAAGCAAGAGTCAATCTCGGAAGAGACTTTCCAAAGTCAAATCTCTTGGTCAGCTTTTTAGATAACTTTAAACCAGATTTATTTATCTAAAGACAGGGATCTGTCCCCTCACACACACGGACACAAACACAAAACTGTCGGAATGGGCTTTCAGTGTAGCAGACATTTGTGTTTTCTGTCCTTTATTCAGTGATACAACGCAGTTTCTCATATAAAAATAATACTAATTGATCAGGTCGTGTTATATGAGTTTGTTTTTTTAGTTTACACGTAGCCTTGGCTTGGTTGTTTGTTTAAAAAAAAAAAATGGTGTAACACATCAAAACTTAGACAAGTGCAAATTTACTTGGCCCAAGTGCACTACCCATATTGATTAAAAATGACTTGATTTGATTTCGCTCACTTTGTTCTTTAATTCAAATTAGTATGTACTGCAGGTAGTGCTTGGTTATAGCTTTAGTTTTTAAAAGGGTTTGTAAACCACATAGTCTACAGTCAAGGAAATAAAAAGCGAAGGAGAAAAAAAAAAAAGTCTGCTTAAGGAAAATAGTACTGTCCGTAATAATGGGAGACCCAAATTCTCGCCGGAATCAAACAAGAAACCGACTCCGCGCCCAGCTACGGAAGAAACGAGAATCTCTGGCTGATCAGTTCGACTTCAAGATCTACATTGCCTTTGTATTTAAGGAAAAGGTATGTTGACTGATTCTGTATGAAACTGAGAAACGGTTTGGGAATTGACTGTTTGCCTGTGATTGTTCTCATATGCCTTTGTCCCACGTTTACAGAAAAAGAAGTCTGCACTCTTCGAAGTAGCTGAGGTGGTACCTGTGATGACCAACAACTATGAGGAAAATATCCTTAAAGGCGTGAAGGATTCGAGCTACTCCTTAGAGAGTTCTTTAGAGCTTCTCCAGAAAGATGTGGTGCAGTTACACGCGCCTCGTTACCAGTCGATGCGTAGAGTAAGTGTTGGCACACAGCATGGTTGACTTTCGACATTGTCAGTTGAAGATTAAGCTGCTGTCAGCTGTGTTGCAACCATAATGGTCTGTCTTGCCTGAAAACCCATGTGTCATCATGTCGTTCGAGGTCACTTGCTATTTCTGTCTCACTGATGTTTCTAAATCTGTACAGGATGTGATCGGTTGTACCCAGGAGATGGACTTTATCCTTTGGCCCCGCAATGATATTGAGAAGATTGTCTGTCTCCTGTTCTCCAGATGGAAAGGGGCTGAACATGAACCATTCAGGCCTGTTCAGGTATGTCTATGTAAATTCTGCCCAACAAAATTGTGGTGCTTGCTTATTATTTTTCGTACTTGAGGTTATGGACTTGATCAGACCCTTACACCAAGTATTCAACATGCGCCATTTGCACAATGGGAATGAATGATTCATTAAAATCCATTTACAACTTGAATGTAGTTTCATTTGCTTTTGAACATTTACAGGCCAAGTTTGAGTTTCATCATGGAGACTATGAAAAGCAGTTTTTGCATGCTGTTGGTCGGAAGGACAAGGCTGGGATGGTTATGAACAACCCCAATCAGTCTGTCTTTCTGTTCGTGGACAGACAGCACTTACAGGTTAGTTCAATAAAACATGAAACATGAAGGTCCGTGGATAATATTTAAGAATGTCATGAGGATTGTCAGCTGATTAGAGGATTTTTTTTTGTATCAATATTGTACATTTATCTAACATTCACTCAAATTAGTGTTTTTTTTTTTTTTTAATGATTAGCTTTAATAACACTGTTAAATGTAATCTTTAGCAAATGCTTTATATTATAGTATTGTGATGCTTAAATTTACTTTTAGCATTAAAATTATTTATTGTAGTTTTTGGTGTTTATTAATAGACAAAAGAATGTTTTACATACGGTTCACCAAGAATAATCTTAAATGTATCTGATATTGAAATGAAAAATCTTATATTTATTATATTGACATGGTTGGTTGTCAGTTGCTGATTTATTACTACTGTCACTACTGTTCGTTTCTTATAAAATACATTGATCTTGCCATGAAAATAACCATAGATGCTGTGACAGCAATAAAAATAAATTTAATAGACAAAATTGTATAGAATTTTAACAGCAGCCATTTTATTGGTTATTGACAATAACCGTGTAATTTGTTGGTTATCAATATTAACCATAATTTTATTTAGTGAATTCCAAATAATTATAGACCTTATAATAACCTAATATTTACTGTATAAGTAAGGAATAATCAACGGCTAGCCATACATTAAAGGATTTTAAATGCACGACGTGGAGGCAAAGCTTATTCCATGGTCATTTGCCAAGTTATAGACGAGTTAAAACTAGTATTGCTCTTTGCAGCACAATATTTGACCGAATGGGTAAAAATGACAGTTATTTTCGTCAGTTACGGCACGTTAGCGCTAGCATTCTGCCCGCTTCAAATCATACAGAGATGAAATAGTGCGGTAAGACCACATTTATTGGAATGAATTGTAGCATGTATTTCAATTAATTATCGATCGAGAGAGAGAGATGACAGTTGTGTGTACCTGTTTGCTGCATCTGCATGTCTCTCTCTACAAACAATTACTTCAGAAACAGCGATTTTATCACCTCGTATGAGGAATATAATGTAGCGATCTAGTATCTAGGCTATTTTATTAATGAAAATCACGGGGAAGCGTTGACAAGTTTGTGAGTGTGTGCAGCGCAATCAGCGATCTCTGACCTCTCTCTCTCTCTCTCTGTGTGTGTGT